CTGGAGTTAGTAGGTATAGGTAAGAAATTTCTCAACAAAACCCCAGCAGCACAGCAATTAAGAGATAGCATAGATAAATGGGACCTCATAAAACTAAAAAGCTTCTGTTCATCAAAAGAAATGGTCTCTAAACTGAAGAGAACATCCACAGAGTGGGAGAAAATATTTGCCAGCTATACATCAGACAAAGGACTAATAACCAGAATATATAGGGAACTTAAAAAACTAAATTCTCCCAAAACTAATGAACCAATAAAGAAATGGGCAAGTGAACTAAACAGAACTTTCTCAAAAGAAGAAATTCAAATGGCCAAAAAACACATGAAAAAATGCTCACCATCTCTAGCAATAAAGGAAATGCAAATTAAAACCACATTAAGATTCCACCTCACCCCTGTTAGAATAGCCATCATCAGCAACACCACCAACAACAGGTGTTGGCGAGGATGCGGGGAAAAAGGAACCCTCTTACACTGTTGGTGGGAATGTAAACTAGTACAACCACTCTGGAAAAAAATTTGGAGGCTACTTAAAAAGCTAGACATTGATCTACCATTTGATCCAGCAATACCACTCTTGGGGATATACCAAAAGACTGTGACACAGGTTACTCCAGAGGCACCTGCACACCCATGTTTATTGGCACTATTCACAATAGCCAAGTTATGGAAACAGCCAAGATGCCCACACTGACGAATGGATTAAGAAAATGTGGTATCTATACACAATGGAATTTTATGCAGCCATGAAGAAGAACGAAATGTTATCATTCGCTGGTAAATGGATGGAATTGAGAACATCATTCTGAGTGAGGTTAGCCTGGCCCAAAAGACCAAAAATCGTATGTTCTCCCTCATATGTGGACATTAGATCAAGGGCAAACACAACAAGGGATTGGACTTTGAGCACATGATAAAAGCGAGAGCACACAAGGGAGGGTGAGGATAGGTAAGACACCAAAAAACTAGCTAGCATTTGTTGCCCTTAATGCAGAGAAACTAAAGCAGATACCTTAAAAGCAACTGAGGCCAATAGGAAAAGGGGACCAGGAACTAGAGAAAAGGTTAGATCAAAAAGAATTAACCTAGAAGGTAACACACACGCACAGGAAATCAATGTGAGTCAATCCCTGTATAGCTATCCTTATCTCACAGCAAAAACCTTGTTCCTTCTATTATGCTTATACTCTCTCTTACCAACAAATTAGAAATAAAGAAATAGGGCAAAATAGTTTCTGCTGGGTATTGAGGGGGTGGGGAGAGAGAGGGGGCGAGTGGGTGGTAAGGGAGGGGGTGGGGGCAGGGGGGAGAAATTTGAGCCCAAGCCTGTATGCCACATATGAAATAATAATAATAATAACAAAACAAAAAGAAACTACACAGATGGATCATGAGTGGTGGTGGTGAGCAGCAGAAAGGGATTATGGATGAATCTGCATTGTTCTAGCTGCTCCCCATGCCACCCATCTCGAGGAAAGCCTGGCATGATTAGATTTTTGAGGCAGACTAATGCTGGCAGCGGATTTAGAGGTGGTAACCTGCCTGTCAGTAGATCCTTCCACTGGGTTCACAATTTTGATCTGTGCCCCAGCATCTGACGGATCTCATTGATTTTAGCACTTTGAGCCCAATTAATGCAGCCAAATCAAATCATTTGAATGGTGAGTTTCATGAAGAAGGTAGTCGGAACAGATGGCATCCGAACCTGCAACTGAAATCCGGTGTCCATATGCGTCTGGAAAATGAGACTGTCGCACTGGCCACTGTGGCGCTTGTTAATCTGGCCTGTGGAATGGCATTACTGTCTTGAATGGTATAGGCTGTAGAGATGGTGCCCTCCAGGTCAGGGCTGAGGCATATGGACGGGGTGGTGTGGGGAAAGCTCGCACTGTCGCTGCTTGTGCTGTACCTGTCCTGAACACCTGCAAAGATGACTGGAGAGCTTGACGGCTTGGGCCGTGCGGGATGGTCAACGCCTTGTACCCGGGTGGACTCCGCCATGAACGCAGATCTGTTTGAACACAACCTCAAATGATGGATTGCGGAATGCAGCAGTGGATGATGGCCCCTCAGTTTGAGTTGGGGAGCATATCCCCTGCCACCTGGACACCGGCCCCTGTAACTCTCGGATTTCGCTTGTCGTGCACCACCTTTTCCAATGAGAAGAGCCACAAACTGATGCAGGGACCACCAGCCTAGGGTGACTGGGGGTCTACTGGCAGCTGTGCTATTGGTCATAGAGCTGCTGATGTCAATGATCATAGCAAAGGCTTTAAAGACGGCAGGAGTGGGTCCAGCCAAAGTGACAATTCTCTGAGGACAGCTCCCTTCTGAGATGTTGAACGGTGCACCACTCTCTTCGGCATCTCCTTCTTAACGCGATTCCTTTCTACCGATGATACTGCCAACTTCCTTTCATTGCATGAGTGGCCCGGATGGGAGCGTGGCATTTCATCCACCTTTCATCACACGGTGTCCCATGGTCGACGCAGTGTTATAGGAGCTGGACTTTGAGTTGGTCAAGTCTTATTGGTCATTGTGGGGGTAAAAGCAAAAAACTGCAGGCACAGGCGACTGAGGGGAAAGGGGAGCATGAGGGAGGGGAAGGGGAAGATGGAAGCCGAGGATGAACAATAGGGGAGGAATGAAGGCCAGGGCCCCGCTGCCCGCGGCTGGCGGGGGAGGACTAGGGAGGGGAGTGAAGAGGAGTGAAGGGGAAAAGAGGCCCCTGGGCGGGTGGAGGGCAAGTGGAGGGGGGCAGGCGTAGCAGGGCGCAGGCTGCAGCTTGTTCTGGCGCTGCCTCTGATGCTTGGGCCAACTTTTCACTTTTCTTCTCTGGTTTCCTTGTACTTGCAATCAAACACTTTCTCCTATGCAGCGACCATGAGCCCAAGGGCCAGAGAACTCAAAACTATTCCTCGGGTAGCCATCAGTTTTTTCTAGGCATCGCATTTCTAAAACAATCCACTTCATAGCAATCTCCTAAACAACAATTGAACAACAAACACCAAAAACTATAGTTATGCATGATAAAGAAAACATTTCCTCAAGTAATATTTTGAACTTTAATTCAATTTCCACACTCCTATGTCCAGTGGTTTCTAGGTTCAAGAGTCAAAAAAACTCTTTGGATCAAGTAATATTAAAATCAGAACACAATTTTATGTGTGTTAGAACATGGAACCATTTCACGGTATTTTGGCAATACCTTTTCTCTTAGCTTCTATTTCAAGCTGTCCTCACACCACTCCAACTGACTGTTTGGAAGAAGTAAAAGTCTTACGAACTCTACTCCGCTGCCTCAGAGAACTCTCTGTAAATAATTTACAGCCCGATTTCTCTTCTCTTGACCATATTAATGCAAGAATTTGCCTCATTGTCAAGATGTCTTCAGTGGAAGTGTATATATATTGCCTGTTGCCTTCTCTTCTCGGGGTTTGCATATTCACTTTGCTAGTGTCTAGTCTCTGGAGTCCATGTCATGACTGACACCTATCACCTCATGCCTAAATCACAAATCATGGGCCTGGCAAGTCTCCAGCCTCAAATCTAGTCGGTACAATTACCACTGCAGTCTCAGAATAGGGATCAGATGAGGAAATTTCATAGTACATAGTCGACTGCCTCTCTCTGTGGGTATGGTAAGTCTGGACCAGGTATCTGCATTTGTAAATTACATCCCAAGTGAAAGCCACAGTGTTGAAGGCAGGAAGAAGTCAAAATGGCTTCCAGAGACCAGAACTTGGTCCTTTTCAGTTTAGAATTGCTCTTGTCTCCGAGTTCCCTAGTGGTCAGTGCATTATGCCAGGATTAGCATCCCTTTCACCATTCACTTCTGCTCCCCTGTCCTCATCACCTGAAGGTGAATGTCTTAGGGGACCTGGGGGTTTTAGTCAGTCTTCTCCACTTTAGAAACACACCATCTCTTTACTTTGAATTTTTCCCTCTGCCTTTTCTCTCCACCTACATGGGAAATTTAAAATAGCCACCTATTAAGCTGGGTTAAGTGTAGCAAATACAGATTGTATTTTTTATTTAGAATTTTTAGCCTAAGGAGGCTAAGGAATTTAGCCAACGCAGTCCACGTATTTAAAGAGAATACAAAAAAAACCAAAAAGGAGGCTTTTCCAAGGCCCCCCCAAAATAGGTAATTAAGATAGATTTTTGTCTGGCTTTTATTCCTCTGCTGGTCTGTATTTCTTCTCCAAAAACTGTGAGGATGGTGTAACTATATAGTAAGATTATAAGAAAATTGTTTTGAATTCGAATGATTAGAAATTATTTCTTTCTAATTTTAATTAAGGACTAACCCAACTACCACTGCCTCCCTCCTTTGCACCAGTCCTCCAGCCAAGGGCCACGGTTATCAAGAATCTTATGTGATGAGTATCTTAAAATATTTTATTCCTGGATGGCATTTAAACTGTGTGAAGTGCACAGATAAAACCAAACGTAATTACAGGAATTTGAAGGTCTAGTTTAGATATTCTGAGCCCATTGGAATAGGGGGTTGGAACACCTAACCTGAAGTCCCACGCGGGGCCGGGCCAACCTCAATCCCATTCCCTTGATGGTCCACTTGTGCAGGTGATGGTGCTCTCTCCATGAGGCTGAGGTCATCCCTCTGTCTGGGTGGGGTCAACACATGTAAGTTATGCCTTTTCCCAAAGGAAAAGACATCCCAGAGGAGTTCCTATGTGTCTCCCATTCAGGATAAGCCGTGGACTTGACAAAAGATTCTGGAAAAGGAGAGGACTCGTTCATTGTAAGTTTTCACCAGAAGGTCTTCTGCAAATCATAGCATGCTAGTTCTGGGCTGCTTCAAAAATTCTGAGGAGATGACAGTGTGAGGTAGGCCTTTGTTAGGGCAGATCACATGACGTGAGATCTCCAAGTTTATTGCAAAAGTACAAGAGATAATTGAATCTCCCAGATACTTGGGTTTTCTGGATAACAGAAAATTTATATTTTAAATCACGAGGGAAGGGAGAGATCAACCACAATGGAGGGTAACTCATTTATTTATCCAACATATAAATTGACTGACAGAGTCAGTCAATCACTGACTGTATCAGCCACTTACCAGGGTCACCTTGGTGAAGAGCACAGAACTGGTCTTTTTCCTCCAAGGAGCTTCTACTCTTGGAAAATATTTCTAAAATTCATTCCATGTACTAATCACCTTAAAGAGATGAGCTGTTTTTTCTACCACTTATGGATATTGACCATCAACCTCAGTTATGACAGCAGTGCTGTCACAATGAATGGAAATGTACATAAATCATTGTGATATAAAAACTCGGAATGCACTCTGACTGATTGGCTTTTAAAATCTCTAGGTATGTTTATGGTTTATTTTTCTCTCTTTATTTTCTGTCAGGTTTCAAATTGTTACCTCTCTCATGTATCTGCTCATCAGCTTAGAGCGGTTCCTTACTCACTCATAACTGGTATTTCTAATTAGGCTTGGAATTGGGAAGAAGTTACTTCAATAGCAAGAGTTGTGAAAAATAAGAGAAAGGCTAAGCAGCCCATTCAATGATGGAGCTCTAGTGCATGATGGAAAGAGAGCCATTTGTCATTCTGCTTCGAGGAACAGAGTGTTTCCTGGATAGCAGAGATTTATGTACACAGTATGTTCTTATAAAACTTAATATAAAAAGCACCATAAGATGTCCAAATAGATTTCTAATAACATGAATATGTTAGTGCAATATGATTGCTTTGAAAACATGATGTCCAATCTTTAGGATCAAGAAATGAAGCAAAAATCTTATAATCTAGTAGAAAATATGAACAGACAAACTAGAAAAAATCAGTAGTGACTCTACATATGAGAATTTTTTAAAAAATAAGCTTAATATTTCTCTCTTTTTTTTTTCTGGCAGTACTGGTATTTGAACTCAGGGCCCTGTGCTTGCTAGGCAAGACCTTGACCACTTGAGCCACACCTCTAGCCCTAGCTTATTATTTCTGAACCACTCAGAGTAATTTATTTGGATACATATTTTGAGAATTTAAGGAGCCTCAAATTGCCTTTCCAGTCTCATGCTTTCCCACTTTTCCCTTATTGTGTTCTGATCTATGATTTCCACAGCTTTTTTTTTTGTCCATTTCCCCACTTGAATGAAATTAGCTCATCTTAATGACTGCTATCATTGCAGTTCCCAGATGAATATCGGACATATTATGTGTTCAATAAGTGACTTAATCAATGCATATTTAGTATTAGTCTATTATCAAATAACTAGGAAAATTATAAGGTGAAAATACCTTAATAGCAGAAAAGAAAAAATAAAGACAAAAGAAAGGGAGAAAAAGAACAAAAGAAAGGGAAAGAAAAGAAGCTTGTGGAAGGTTCATGTTATCTCATCTTTCCTTACCTAGGAAAAAACTCACAGGAAACATTACATAGAATACAGAGTTCAAAATTACAGAGTCTGACCAAATAGTTTCAAAACAAGAAGATACATATATTGAGTCACAAAAAGTACTATTAAAATAAACATTTTCTGTCAATAATTCAGACTAGACAGGGAAGGCTATGAGTCAAAATACTAAACAACTTAAGAAGAGAGATTGGCCTGAGAGTTCCTCCTCCTACTCACGTTCACACACAGGAACGCTACTATTCCAAAGGCTTTCCGCTCCAACCAGGACACAATAAGTAGCAGAATTTCCTTTCAATCGAAACCTAAAGAAGAAAATGGCAGTGAATAGTGAGAGCTTTCAGCCAAAGTGTCATCCAGCCCCTAATCTGAGACCCAGCCAAAAAAACCTCAGAATTTTGAGGATCTGCGATCAGCAGGTGGCAGAGGTACAGAGGTAAGGTCATTCCTGAACATCACAGTTTCCAGCCAGAAGGCAAGTAGAATGATAGGGCACTGAGCCTGGCTGTGTAATAGCCCTAGTTATTGAAGAAGGCAGTCATGGCATAGTTGCCATAGCCTGGACCCTGGACCCAGACACAGAGTCTCACTGATCATTCCATGATGAACTTGGTACAGTGCTCATTGTCATTACTGCAAACTCATCCTTCTAAGTCAACATGCTCAAGCTGACACCAGAACACATTAAATGAGCTCCTAGTCTGCATTGGAAGAGAAGAGAGAATTGCTCTTGTGTCTCTATATTTGTGACAGCTGTGAGGTGGGCTCTTGGAGAGTGAGTCTGACTGTTCCAGGGAGAAAAGGAGAGGGGAGCCAACATTTTTATGTAGGCACCCAAATTTTCACCCTGATGCTCTCCTACATCTTAGTGGGTGCTGTATTTGTGCTGTTCAGAGTTCTCTGGGACATCTGGAGATCAGGTGCCTTGCTGTCCATGCATAGTGTGAAGAACACCAGATCCATACACAGGTGTATGACCTGGCCTGAAACATGAACACCATAATCACATTTATGAGCCCACCATAATCACATTTATGAGCCCACAGCCGACTCCGAGTCAAATGGTACGACTGCTTATTCTTGCACTTTCACTTGTATTTCAAAATCTACTATTTGTGGTTTAAAATAGTACCAAAATCCACTCTTATTAAAAACACTGTTATTAGTGTGTTTTTTGTTATATATGAAAAAATTTCATCTGATACTCTCCAAATTATTAGTATTCCTTTCTACTTGAAAAATATGATTTTTCACTTATATGTTCATAACCAGAATCAAATGTCTTTGAATCTGTAATTTAATATGTCCTCTCCGTCTGTCTGTCTCTCTCTCTCTCTGTCTCTCTTTCTCTCATACTCTCTCTCTGTCTAATATGTTTTTCTATATTCTCTCTAGCTCTCTTTAATGAGTCACATCAAACCTCCCCTGTTCAAACTTAACTCAGTTTTTATGTTCAGCAGGTCAGGCACTTACCCTTCATCACAAACAAAGGACACTTTTGCTCCAAGCTGCAGATTCAGAGGAAATAGCACACGCCCATTAGGGAGTTGGCCCAGGAAGTCATCACAGGATTTCACTGGAGAAACGAAAGCCAAAAAGAAGTAATAGAAGTGTGTGGAGAATAAAGACCAAAGCTGAAAATAGCAAGTTAGACATGAATCCAGGCACCTGCACACGTGGGAGCTGCAGGGCTCCAGTCTCCCTGGGGTGTACAGCGCAGAGAAGCAGCTCCACGGAGGTCATAGCCAGGCTCACAGCTGTAGAACACTTCCTGCCCAGGGGAAAAGTTGTCCTTGTTCCTCAGGATGTGCCCACCATGCAGGATTTCTGGGGGTGGCTTACATACTAGGGAAAGAGAACCAAAGCACTGTTCATTGCGTAAAAATATTTTTTCCCGAAGGGTGAACTGGCCGAGAAAATTGAGGTTATAGGTCTATATGTAAAAGCAAAAAACTATTGGTAGATTAACATGTTATTGATAATACACACACACACACAGACCCACACACACACACACACACACACACACATACACACGGTGGGAATGGGATGTCTTGTCAGAAGCCACAAAACTGCTACATTGAAGAAATGTGACTAGAGTGGAAGAAGCCTCCATTCATTATTTTCATTTGAAGTATGGGCTTAAGGTAATAGATAGCTCTTTCTAGAATTCTTCCAATTTCTGTTCATACAGAGCAAAATTGTTAGGATTGATGGGTTTTTATATCTTCTCACTGTCTTTCTAGAAACAGATCACCAATGTTTAGTTCTGTACTGCAGGCAGTAATGAGTGCCTGTGCCCCAGTGTCACCTAACACATCCCCCAATCAGCTGGCACATGGTGCAGTCAATGGAGTTCATACATTTATTCTCTAGTGACCCATTGGGCCCAGGTCAGTGCAAAACTATGCATCTCCTCTCTTCACACTACATGGATGGTGCTGCTTAGCCACTCATTTCATTCCAGTGAGAGGATGGGCAGCCATTGAGCAAAATCTTGTAAACACTCAAGCCATCATAAAGAGTGCATATTGCACGCAGAATAAATAGTGTAACTGAGTCTGCTCTGGCTGTCCCTGTATACAATTGGTTTGTACTCAGGAAATGGGGATGCATGTGAGTTTCACGAAATTGCATAAAGCTGTTGTAAAATGAAAAACAAATCATTTCAGTTTGGCTTTGAACAGGCCAATTTCCCTCCCTAGACTTGAGTTTTCACTAGTATAAAATGGGAGATTGGTCTAGAATAAATGACTTCCTAAAGGACATTGTAACTATTCTGTTGTTATAATATACATTTTCAGAGCTCATCCCACAAGTGTTTCCCTTAACTAATAACTGCACTGTGATGGGATAGTTAGGGCTATGCTGGTTAAATTTTGTTACCACAGCCTCACACTTGTATACTCTCTTCTGACTATGATGACTACAAAAAGTCTGGAAACTACAATTGTTTTACCTTAGGTCTTTGGTTAAGTTCTGCCAAGTGGATGCGTATGTACTAAACTAAAAGGTGAGAAGATGGTAAAAAGCCATTCTATTTCTAAAGGTGGTTCCTGCAGTGGCAGCTTTGATGACTCTCACTTAGCATCAGTAACTCCTAGCAATACCAATGACTTTGACTCCAGCAAGACCTGATACATACATCCTGGCAGCAGTGGCAGTGGCTGCTGTGTCAGCACTGAATATTGACTCCTGTATTCTGATCCCAGGTCTAGATTGGATAGACTCAAGCAGCTCCCTGATGCCTGGCAATGCTGCCTTCCTCTTGTTCTTCCTGCCCTTCCAACATCTTCATAACTCATATCCTACCTGAGATCCCCTGTTACTTGAAGAATCTGGCAGAGTCAGTGCTCTGGAGACAGACAAGTAGACTTGGGTTCTAGTCTTTAGTCTACAAGGTAGTATGTGTTTCATTTTGGAAAATTGTCATACCTAAGATTGTCTCTGTCAAATACGGAAAGAAAAGTAACTACCTGTTGCTTCATTTTAAGGATTATATATGCACATTGTCCCTAGCATGCTGCCTGGTCAGATGAATCACCCATTACATATTAGCAATTAATATACACAAGAGTACTGATAGATGGTGGAGGCTAGAGATAGTGATATGTATACAGAACTAACGTGTTTATTACAATACAAGGCACATACATTCTTTGTTCAGATTTACCTTTGTTTCTCAATTTGAATGCATATGAGGACACATACACACACACTCACACACACACAGAGACACACACACAGCCCTTCTTGATTTCAAGTCCCTTCCCAAGAAAATTTACCCAATCTGCTCTTCACACATCCCTTCTCCAGAACCAGCACTGATCTCCTAGTTCTCCAACACCTCACGCCATCATAACTCCTCCCACGCCTCATCGGACTCACCCCTCGAGCATCTTGGTAACTCTGGCTCCCACTTGTTCAGGGCCTGGCACTGCACCCTGGTGGGTCCTTTCATGACAAAGCCAGGCTGACAACGAAACTCCACAATGTCATGTAAAGAAAATAAGCTTCTGTTGGCAGACACCATGATTGCATCTTCGACAACTGGCGGTGTGCATTTATTAGGTATGATGCACTGTGGGGGAGGGCCACTCCAGATGCCGACTTGACCGTCATTGCTGGTGCAGTAGATGGAGGGCTCGCCCACGAGTTGAAACAGCTTCCTCCTGTCTCCAGGATTGCAGCGATAGGTCACCACCATTCCATAGCGAAAATTTTCTCTGCTGGTGCTAAAGAAATCTCCATTGGCAATGGCTGGAGGTGGCTCACAAGGAATTTCTGGGCACAGAAGGAGAAGGTTAAATAAGAATGAACTTAAATAGTAAGTGAGAAAAATGGGATGATTCTCTAAACTAATGGCTTGTACATTTATTATTTGCTTTTGATGATTGCTAATGTAGCTAAATTTTACAATTTTGTATCTTGTGTGAGTGTAATAGTGTGTGCTTGCCTTTCCTATTTAATGCATGCTCATTAATATAGTACATCTTCTTTCCATTGTAAATAGCCTCTGGTCATACAGTTATAGAGTTTACATATTCTTCCTGACACTTTTCCACTTGCTTTATTAATTTTCATCTTTGTTGCTAAGTGAGCATAATTTGCTTTAAAATATATATAATGAATATATCCTAATAAAACTTTATAATTGAAAAAAGGATAAAAATATTTGTAAAATATACAGGAGAAGAGAGAAAACACAAATGTTCAGGAGTAAGAAGTAGAATTTGAATGTATTTACATATATATGAGAATATTTGTGAAATTGTAGACACGTTAAACATTTTGCAAATTTAAATGATATAAGTGGAACTATAAATTACCTGTATTTATTTAAGCAGATGTAGTCAACTAGAATTGACCAAGAAACTTGTAAGAATAAAAAACATTCACAGATAAGTTCTCTCAAACTTTCAGTTAATACATACTTCCAAATGTTTCATAACATGTAAAAGTTAGAAATTTTACCAATTCACTTTATCAAGCCTAAATTTGATAAGCTGAGATTTATGGAAAAGCTGTCACAAAAGCCCCTATGTAAATGTATAAGTAGTATATAGTGTTGTACTGGAAGTAAATAACTTTAGACCAAACCCCATGACCCTAGATATTAAAAAACTAAAATTCTTAAGGGGGCTTCTGATTCTAGTTACGGTAATCTCAATAATTCAAATAAAAATATGCCTCCCTTCCCCCAACACACAAGTGAGGTTACCAATGTTGGAAATCTAAAAGAAATGTCTGTGAAGCATCAGATGGCTGACAAAATAGTGAAGAATTCCTGGGCTGAGGGCTGGGAGAAGATAAGAATCAGGGAGGAGCTGGGCATCTGGCTGCTTTTCCCTTGGGAATGAGGAGATGTATCAACAGAGCAATTGAGAGCCTTTGTAGACTTTTGATAGCCTCATGAAATCAAGTGACAAAAATCAGAGTCCAAGGCCTCTCCCAAATGGATGCCGTGGTAATGGAAGCCTTCGTATGTATACTGAGATGATGAAAACTAAGCTCTTGAATTGAGGTTAATTAAATGTAAAGCTGCTGTCTCATATTCTGGAAATACTCTTCAAGCACTATAGGTGGCCCAGAAAAATATAGTTCTTGAGAGTGAATTAAAGTTGCCCCAGATTGCTTGTGTCCTCTGGTGTCTGGCAGAAAAAGGCAATAAAAATCCTCACTGGAGGAAGATAGGCCATTGCTATGGTTTGTATATAGCTAATGTCCCTCAAAGGATCATGGTCCCCAGGCTGGTGCTGTTGCCATGAAACTGTTAGGAGGTAAAGCCTAGTGGAACATATAGTTCATTAGATCATGCCCTTGAAAAGGATTGTAGGACCACGTGTCCACGTGTCTGTCTCTCTGTGTGTCTGTCTCTCTCTGTCTCTCTATCTGTTTCTCTCTCACTCTCTCTCCACAAAGGTTCTCACTAGAATCTCCCCACTGGACTAGAACTTCCAATCTGCTTCCCTCAGTCTCCTGAGTGCTGGGATTACAGGTGTGCATCAACTTGCCTGGCTCTTCTCATTTTTTTTCTCATTGGCTTATTGTGTAAGCAGCTTTGCTCTGTCACATGTTCACACCATGTTTTCCTGCCTCATCAGAGGCCCAAATCAATGGCGTCACTTGATCATGGACACCTTCAAAACTGTGAGCCAAAGTAAACTTTTCTTATGAGTTAATTACCTCAGATATTTCATTGTAATGATGTAGAACTGATGGCTATAATCACGTAAGGACCTTGAAATTATTTCTTCAGATTAGTTTTCAAATATAATTCCTGATACACAAAGACAGCTAGGCACTCAAAGAGATAAAATAACATGAGTGAGAACCAGCACAATCAATGCTGATAGAAACAGACCCAAAAGGACTACAGACAATGGAATTTTCACTTACAGAATTGAAATTAATAGGCTTACCTGTTCAAGGATACAATACATAAACCAAACTTTTAGTAGCAGTTAGAAACTATTCAAAAGAACATGGAAAATTGGCAATGAGCCAAATAAAAATATTTAAGATCATAAAATATAATTTCCAAAATTAAGAATCTGGATAGGATTAATAACAGGTTAGACAGAGTTGAAGAAAAATCAGGTGGGACAGAAGGAAATACCCAGAACAAAATACAGAGACAAAAGGATCAAAAATATAGGCAAAAGAGTAAAGAGACCCTTAGGATAGAGGGATACAGCCTGACATATAATTGGGTGGAGTTTCATAAAGAGAAGGAAGAGATAACACCACATGCAACATTTGAAAAAGTAATGACTGAGAATTTTCCAAGACTGATGATGATGATAAAATCACAGACTCAAAAGTTATACAAACCCAAGCAATACAAATTCAAAGAACTCCCTACCTAGGTATATCATAATAATATAAAATCAGATACAATCAATTTTAAGGCAGCCAGGAAACAGAGACAAAAACCTTGAAAGGAACCATGATGCTAAAAATGTTTAAAGAATGTATTGCCAGAAGATCCACAATACAAAAAAGTTAAAAAGAGTTCTTCAGGCTGAAGGGAAGTAGTTTCATATATAATCAGTAGAACTGTGATAATGAGGCAGCCATCAGAAAGAGCTGATATGTAGGCATGTTTTAATCAAGGGTCTTTAAGAGAAAAAACACCACTTTGATGATTAGGGTAGTCATGAGACAGAAATGAAGATTTCATTACACACCCCGAGGATACATGGTACACATGGTCACACAGAGGTCAGTCAGTGTGAGGAAAACGAAAGAGAGAGAGAGAGGGACCTGTGGGAAAAAATCTTTACTGGGGTCCAGGGTGTTACCAAAGCAAGTTTTCCATGAGGGGTTCTAATTAGTAGGCTTAAAGGAAGCAGATACAAGTTCTAGGAGTCCATACTTAGGACTGAGAAGTGGTCACTGTGGCATATCTGTAAAGTCCATGCAGGATGTAGTGGTCAGTGGTACTCATCAATAGATATTATCTAGCTGTCCCACAGGGAAGTCGTCACCAGGAGGAGGTTATATGAGGCAGATATCTGGATCAACCACATTGAAGGAGTTGGAGGAAGTATAGAAGCAGAAACTCTGCCAAGGATGACTAAGCCCTGCTTCTGGTATGAGCAAGTTAACCTTGTAGGGTTGTCTCCCTGTATCCATGGGAAATATATTCCAAAACCCCAGTAGATGACTGACACCTTGGATAGTTCCAGGCTCTCTATAAAGTTTAATTTGTAAGTTAGATACAGAAAGAGATTACAATAACTATAATGAAATAGAGCAAGTATAACAAAATATTGTTATATAAAATATAACATATATATAATATATTGTTATATAAAAGTTATATAATTGTGGTTTCTTTCTCTTACTCTCAAAATATTATACCACATTCATTCTTCTTACGAGTGATGATACAATGCCTGTGTGCTGAGATGGCATGAAGTAATGACATAGGATTGTGATGACTATTCAGAACTCTATAAGGATTACATGAAAAGCAGTGGAATACTGAGGGTCAATCTGATAACCCAGATGCAGTATGGATGCACTGGAAAAAGATGACTCATATCCTAGGTGGGACAGAGTAGAGCACATGAGATTTCATCATACTTCTTAGGATGAGGCACAACTTAAAACTTGTAACTTATTTATTATAGAATTTTCCATCTAATATTTTTGGACTACAGTTGACCTTGGGAAATTGAAACCACAGAAAATGAAGTGTGGATAAAGTGGGAAGAGCTACTATATTCAGAATGGATGCTGAGACAACATAAAATTACAAGATTTCACTGGAGGGTAATATAAATGTTGTTTTAATAAAAATAATACCATATCTTGTGAAATACAAAGGAGTATGTCAAAAATAGGAAAAAGGAAGAAGGGCAAAAGTGGAGTTAAACTGATTGGGTTCTTTTTGTACATTGGGGATATGGTAAAAGCACAATTTAAATTAGACTATAGCAAATGAAAGAAGTATTTGCCACCTGTAAGTCACTCTTAAAAGAATAAGAAAATAACATATAGTTAAGAAGCTCTTGAGGAGAAAGTGTGGAAAGCAGAAATTTTCAATTGATTTTAAAATGTGAGAAATGAGGAATAAACATATGAAAGAAATAGAAAATAATTAGCCAGTTACTATGCCTAACTATATCAGTAACTTTGTAAATTTTAATGTTCTAAATGCTCCAATTGACATAAGCATTTTTAGAGTGAAGGAAAAAAACAAAATCGATGATATGATATTTATGGGACAAACTTTGAGTACATGATGACATGTTTCTGGAAGTAAAGGATTTGAAATATACATAACACAACAATAAAGAACAAAAAAGAAAGCTATGTTAATAACTGTGTTATAGTTAGTAGCTATGTTAATAATGTACAAAGCAGATTTTAAGGAAAGAAATATTAGAAGTCAAGAATTTTATTATGATAAGAAAAGTCCACTTAGCAGAAGGATATAATAAACCAAAATTTCCATGCATGTAATACAGACTTAAAGACACAAATAAAAATGATTAGAACTAAACGGAGAGACAGACAAATCCATAGTCATGGTTGGAGATTATAGTGGATTGAGTGGTGACTCCAACCCTCCCCTAATACGTGTCCATCTCTTGGCCTCTTTAACTTGTGAATGTAACCTTATTTGGAAAAAAGGTCTTTGTAGATGTAATTAAGTGAAGGATACTAAGAAGAGATCATACTGGATTACCCAAGAGAGCTCTAAATCCAATATCTCGTGCCTTTATAGGAATTCAAGAAGAGGAAACATTGAGGAGAAGGCAAAGTGAAGATGGAGATAGGAAGTGATGCATCCATTCATTAGCTAAGGAATGCTAAAGCTTGCCAGCAGGCACCAGAATCTAGGAGAGAAGCAAAACCCTGATTCTCTCTCCCAGCTTCTGGAAGGACTCAATATTATTGATGCCTTCCCTTGACTTTGGACATCCTTTCTCCTAATTGGGAGAGAATAGATTTCTCTGGTCTTAAGTCATCAAGTTGGTGATTGTTGCAGGAGCTCTAGAAAACTCTTACGTACTCTTCCCAATAACAGAGAAAAGTGAGGGAAATAAAAGACTGAATAACATTTTTGTATATTCTTTTTAGGGGCATATGTAACATTTTTACCAAAATTGTCCACATTCTGGGCCATAAAACACATCTCCTCATATGCTTCAAAGGATTTAAAGCAATAAAAAGAATGATAACTAGAAAATTCCCATGTTTAGAAAGTAAGCAACACACTTCTAAGTAGTCTATGTATCATATGTATATATTGGTGCTGGGAATTGAACCCAGGGCCTTTGTGTGCTAGGCAACTGCTCTACCATTGAGCTATATCCCCATCCTCAAGATTGGCCTTTTTCAATAAATGGTATTAGAACAATTGCCTATCCAACTAGGAAAAACAAACAAACCCCAAAAGATGTTAACCACACTATATGTAAAAATAAATTTGAGGTAAATCACAGGCTTAAATGTGAATGACAAGACAATACAAGTTTTAGAGAATCATGTGGGAAAATATTTTCATAACAGGCAAAGATTCTTGAATAGAGCAGAAAAAAGCAGTAACTAGAAAGGAAAAAAATCACAAATTGAACACTACTTAAATGTAGAACTTCTATCACAAACGTTACTAAAAAGATCTTTGCATTGTATTTATTGGGAAATATGAGAATAGATAAAGAATTTCTATAAACCAATAAAAAGATAGACAAAGTAGTAAATAACAGGCACAGGTTTAAATCAGTGCTTCGTAAGTGTATTAAAAGGTGCTCAGCCTCAGAACTCACTGGGAAAGTGCAAACTGTTTTAGCCATTTAGAGAGGGTGTGCAGTGAAACAGTAATCAGAATGATTTGACTGCAGAGATCCTTGCCATCAGCTAACTGATCACAAAGTGTTGTCTGATTTGTATAACTGTTCTAGATCTAGTGAACAGAAGTCTAGTTTGAGTCATTGCAAAGAAGACTTGAATTAGTTTTTAGAACTAGAGCAGCACCAATGATGGGGGGACACGATCTTCTCCAGGACACATCCTACTACCCAGCCCCAAATATATATTGTTAGGTCTCCCTGTAGCTTTCCCCAAGGGACTTAAAGCCATTTACATTATAGAAAAGTTTACAGAATTAGAGTTAGAGATAAAAATATAGACAAGGGTATATAATATCTTTTAATATGAACTCTTACCATACATGTGATCTATCATCTGATTTGTTTTCACATAAAATATATATCTTTATATATTATAAAATGCTTCTCTATGTTGCTTGTTTTATGTTTGAATAACATTTCAGTGTATGGATGTACTTTTTGAATTCTGTGTGGCTATTTTGTGTCTTCTAGGAAATTCTTTATACTCATTTTTAACATACCATTCTTTTTAGTAGATTATTTCTGAACCCTAGTGTGAAACTTGTGGTGTACCTAAGTTAATTTAACATTTTTGCTGTTATAAAGAATGCTACAATGAAAGTTTCTATTGAACTCCTTTAAAAAAACTTATTATTTCCAAAGTATAAATCCTAAGACGTGGGTCAAAATAAATTCTTATTTTTAGTTTATAATGTGTTAACGCCTCAGAACCTGAGAGTGCTCATTTCTCCACAGCTTCGCTAACCTTGAGGAATACTAATAATTTTTAAAGTCTTTACTAATTTGTGAACAGAACAATTATTATACTAGAGAATGTAGAACCAACATAATTCCAATTAACTAAAGAAAAAAACAAGTTTCCAAGACCTCAGATTTAGAAAAGTCTCATCCCAGGATAAAGAACTTAAGGAAACAGTTGCCAAGAATACCATGGGGAATTTGAGGACCTCACAGCTGTCTTTAGTCACCTGAAGAACAGATGTCACAAAAAGAATTTGGTAAAGATTTTTATAATTCCTTTTAGGGCTGCAGGTATAGCTCAATGGTACAGCACTGTCTGGCATACATGAGGGCCTGTGTTCAATCCCCAGCACTGCAAAAAAATTAAAATTCCAGGGGGAAAAAATCAGAATTCATTGGTATAAATGATAGAAAGGAATAGTTAAACTCACTTTCACAGATGGGAGCTTCATTATCCCAAATGACTGTATTGCCTGAGATAACGCAGACAGCAGAGGAGGAGCCAAGGAGTCTGTATCTAGAAGCAGACAATAAGGAATGTTACATGCTAAATACACAGGTAATCTACCACTTAAATTTCTTCTTCTCAGAGATTACAATCATGAAAATTTCAGTGAAACATCTGTTAATGTCTGTGCTGGGATACTATTGGGCCTAATCCAATGACCGTTATCCTTAGAAGAAGGGAAGACAGAAATTTGGATACAGAGATGTACACAGAGGGAAGATGATGTTAAGACACACAAAGAGAAAGCCATGGGAGGCAGAGATTGGAGTCATATGTCTACAAGTCAAGTGATGCCAAGAAGTACCATTAACTCCCAGAAGGTAGGAGAAAAGAACAGTATATATTTTCCTCAGAGCTTTGAGCATGAACTCACCCTTGATTTCTACTTTTGGCTTCCAGAACTTAAAGAATAAATCTGTTGCATTTAGTGACTCAATTTTTAGATATTTTGTTGCTGTAACCCTGGAAAACCAATGTGACATTATTTGCCTGTTTTCTAATTAGATTGTTCATTGCTGAGAGTTTGTCTATTCTAGATACTAGGCCTTTGTAGAATATGTGGTTTGCAAATGTTTTTTCTCTGCCTGTAGCTTTTCTTTCTCTTTTCCCTTGCCACAAGACAATGACATCCTCACCACTCACTGAATGAACTATTGAGTGTTCATGACAGGGCCATAAGGGAAGAGAAAGAGATGCAATTCATTTAGGTTGGAAAGACCAGTGACATAACTGTCTGCCTAGAAAATTCCAGAGATTTTTTTTTTACAGAGCAAACATTTAAAATTTTATTTTTCAAATTGACATGTAATAACTGCACATATTTATGGGTGCAGTGGCATCATTTAATACCTGTATTCAAGGTATAAAGATGAAATCAGAGTAATCACCACTTCCTTCTTCTCAGACATTTGTTACTTCTTTGTGTTGGGAAACATTGAACTTCTCTCTTCATGTTCTTTATGAAATACATAATAAATTGTGATGAATGTGCTTTAGAACTTTGAACTTATTTCTCCTGTATAACTATATTTTCACACCTATAGCCAACCCCTCTCCCTTCTTCCCCTCCCAGGCTTCTTATCTTCCACTGACTACTATTCTACTGTTTACTTTTATGAAATCAACTTTTAAAAACTTCCATGTATGAGCAAGAAGATACAATATTTCTTTCTAGCTTATTTTACTTGACATAATGTCTTCTAGTTCCATGTATATTGCTGCAAATGACAGAATTTCATTTGCTTTTATGACCAAATAATACTCCATTGTGGATCTATACCACGTTTTCTTTTTCTGTGCATTCATCAGTGGACATCTCAGTTGATTCTATGTTTTGGCTATTGTGAATATTGCTGAAATAAATATGGGCGTGCAGGTATTTCTTTGATAGTACTGATACCATTACCTTGGTTATATATGCAGAAGAATAGCTGGATCATATGGTAGTTGTAGGTTTACCTTTTAAAGGAACCATCATACTGTTTTCTATAATAATTATATCTTTCCTCACATCCTTAGCAGTATTTACTTTTTGCCTTTTTAACTATAGGAATTCTAAGTGGGCTGAGATGATATCTCATTGTGGTTTTGATTAGAATTTTTCTGATGATTTGTGATGCTGAGGTGTTTTTCCATATATATGCTGGTCACTTCTGTGTATTTTCTTCTGAGAAATGTCTATTTGGATCATTTGTCCATTTTAAAATTGAATTGTTTCTTTGTATTGAATATATTGTGATCCTTGCATATTCTGGCTCGAGAATATTGTCAGATGTATTGTTTTCAAATATTTTCTCCTATTGTGAAAGTTGTTTCTTCTGGGTTGCAAGAAGCCTGGTGTAATCTGAATCATCAAATTTTGTTTTTGTTGCCTTGCTTTTGGGATTGCATACAAAATTTTTCATATACCAGTGACTTGAAGTGTTTTTCATGGATTTTCTTTGAGTGGCTTCATAGTTTTAGGTCTTATATTTAGGTCTCTGATTCATTTTGCATTGACTTTTTTGTGTGACTAGTAGGAGGGATCTAGTTTCATTCTTCCCTACATGGATATACAGTTTGCACAGCACCATTTATTAAAAAGTTTATTCCATCTCCAATGTGTGTTTTGGACACTTCTGTCAAAGATTAGTTGGCCATAGGTGTGTGGATTTATTTTTGGACTTTCTATTCTGTTCCATTGATCTTTGTTTCTGCGTTTATGTCAGTATCATGCTGAATATTTTTAGATTGAATGGTCAAAATTGCATATCACTGTTAATTTAATTTACATTGATTTCATTACTAGCAAGTCTCGACTTTCTCACAGATATTGACAATTTGTACCTTTTTTTGTTAATTGCCACTTGTATCACTTGATCATATTTATATTCAGGCATTTATGTTTTTGTAAGGTATTTTATTTACTTGCTGATTTCCTTTTACAGTACTGGGGTTTGAAATCAGGGCCTTGAGCTTGCTAGGCAGGTGCTCTACCATTTGAGCCTTGCCCCACTCCCAAGCATTTTTTGCTTTAGTTATTTTCAGACAGGCTCTCATGCTTTTATACAGAGCCAGCCTTGGAATGTGGCCCTTTTACCTACACCTGTTGCTTCACTGGGTCACAGGCACACACCATCAAGACCAGCTTATTTGTTGAGATGAGGTCTTACTAACTTTTTGCTTGGGATGGTCTTGAAACTCTACTCTTCCAATCTGTATCTCCTGAGTAGATAGTTACAGGCATTTGCTGCCATACTCAGAACCCTTTCATTTCAATTTGAAGAACTCTCTTTAGCATTTCTTACAAAGTACATGTAGTAGTTATACCTCCTGCAGTTTTTATTTGTCTGAGAAAGTCTTATCTCTCCTTCATTATGGAAGGACAATCTTGCTGGTTGGTATAGTATTATATTGGAAGTTTTTTTTTTTCTTTTAGGATTTGAATAGATTATCTCTCTCTCTCTCCTAGTTGTAACTTCTCTACTGAGAAATCCACTGATGATCTTATAGGATTTGCCTCATAAATAATAGGTTGTTTTTGTCTTGCTTCTTTTGAAAATACACTCTTTCTCTTTGACATTGAGAATTTGATTATAATGTGACATGTCTTGGTGAATACTTCTTTGTATTTGACCTATTTCAGTTCCTTTTTGGGGGAAGGACTTTATGTACCTGATGTTCATTTCTCTCTTTACATTTGGGAAGTTTTCTGTCACTATTTCTTTTTTTTAAAGTTATTTTGTACTGGGGGTACATTGTGATACTTACAAAAGTTCTTACAATATATCATAGTTGAATTTGCCCCCTCCATCATTCTCCTTTATCCTCCCTCCCCTCATTCCTGGACTAGGTTACACAGGTCTCATTTTTTCATTTACATTCATGTGTACATACTATTTCTACCATATCCACCCTCCTTCACGCTTTCCTTATACCCTCCACTGCACACACACTGGTACTAACCCCCCAGACAAGCTGTTTTGCCTTCCTGTTCTCTATTTTTATAAAAATTGACATTTTTGTTTAAGATAGCAATACAGAGTGTTTCATTGTGACATTTCCATGTATATATGTGTTATAAGCCAGATGTAAATAAACTTTCTTCTTATTTCTTTCTTTGTTTCTTCCGAGCCTGCTATAACATGCATGTTAGCTTGCTTGATGGTTGACTATGATCTTTGCAGATCTTGTTCTTCTGTAGGTTTTCTTCACTCTTTTCCTGCACTAATTCTTTCCTCTCCTTGATCAAGTCAGCTGTTGAAATCTTCGTGGATTTTTTCAGTTCAGTCATTGTGTTCGTTAGCTCCAGAATTTCTGTTTGATTCTTCTTTTGGTTTCACTTTTCATTTTGTTGTTTATTGTGCCTTAGATTTGTTTAGTTGTCTATCTGTGTTCTATTGTAGCTCACCAAGTTATTTTAAGGAAATTATTGTGAATTTTTGGTCAGGTAGTTTATAGAACTCCATTTCTCTAAGGTCAGTTACTGCTGCTTTACCTTGTTCCTTTACTGGTACCACATTTCCCTGATAATTTATGATCCTGTTGCCTGTGCCCTGACATCTGTGCACTTCGGCAAGTAGGCACCTATTCCGGTCTTTCCAGACTGGATTCTTCAGGGAAAGCCCTTCACCAGCTAGCTTGTCTAGAGGTTCTGAGCAGGCAATGAAGCAGGATCTGTGGAGGGTTTGCTGCTGAAGTCCTCAGACCGGCTGGTCTGGTACCTGGGTCAGCATGTAAGCAGTGCATGAGAATTTTGCTTTCTTCACAACCTCACTCATACTTGTTATTGTCTGCCTCTTAGAGTGTAATTATTTTCTAGGAGTGAGGTGGTATATTAAAAAGTGGATATAATTTGCATTCATCTGTTGACTAGAGATATTAAACAACTTGTTATATCTTGTGGTCTATTTGTATATTTTCTTTGGGGAAACATCTATTCTATTCTTTGCCCATTTTGTAATTGAGTTATTTGTCATTGTACTAGAAAATTGTAAGAGCTCTTTATATATTGTACATACACACTTATAAGATCTATGATTTGCAAATATTTTTCCTATTTGTGGTTTATCTTGATAATGTCATTTGAAAAGCAAATGTTTTTTTCCTCAAACTAGCAAAAACACTATGTCTTTCTTCTTATCTCCTATGACTTCTCTTCAACAAAATCAGAGAACAAGAGTGCAGCATGGGTTCTGCCTGGAAGTGGAGGGGGTGGGGATGAAGTGGGGGAAGGTGGCATATACAATGTAAGTAAATGTAAAGAACCGAGGTTGTGGCTTAGTGGTTGAGCACTTGCCTAGTACGAGTGAGGCCCTGGGTTCAATCCCTAGCACTGCCAAGTGTCCAACTCACCCTCTATTGCAAGTATATTGAATTCTGGATCCGAATCCGGTGTCTGAGACTATGTGCACCATGCCATTTGTGGGCTCTGAAGGAGTTTTACATGTTTTACCTATGGGAAGCAAACAAAATTTTGGAGCCAGGTAAAATAATATGAATCTTTTTTTAGTATGTAAAGACCTAACCCAACTAGACCTTACCATAGAGTGTATGCAATTGTGATGATTTGATAGATTTCTTAACTTTGAGGAAACCATCCAGACTGTCTTAGTACCAGTTACCAGGTAAGACCTCCCTTTCCAAAAGACCTCCCCTCCACTTTTTTCTTATCTTCACCTTGTGGCTCTCAGGAACACATACAGTACTCCCTTTATTGCCAAAGTGTTATCCAGGTATTGCAATTCACAGGTCAAACCCTTTATAGTTTTTCATCTCTTATTCAATACACTTTTCTTTCCTTCTGAATCATTCATTACAGTAAGTCCACCTTATTCCAAGTGTGGTTAAAAGTAAATAAATAAAACAAAATTCACAAACAAAAAATTTAAGTTCCTGTGTGCACATTGCCCAGCCCAGTCAATGCAAAGAAGCTCTCAGTCAGTCCCACATTGTCAGTTGTGCTTAAATCTTCCTGTGATCTATTGAGTGTTTCCCTGCCCTTCATTTTGTGGAAATATGGCTCCCCAAAAGCAAATGGTGCCCCAAAAGCAAGATAAAAGTTAATGTGCTTAGTTTAAGTGGTAAAGTGAAAATTTTAAATTTATTGAAAGGCAGCTTGTAAAGGCAAGCAGAAGTTGGGCAGCATATATGGGCAAAATGAATCAAGCATTTGTAGTATAGTGCTGAATTCTACGTATCCTGAGCATTTGTGATTTTTCCTTAATGGCAGTCTCCTTGGAACTAGATACATGGACTCCAAGGACCTACTGTCCTCAGTTTTAGTTGTGAAAGTGGGACACCCTTGATGAATGGAAATTTTTCCTCAATCATGCCCTATAATAGGCATTTCTCATGAAATGAACTTACAGTAGAGATGCCAGTAACTCAAACTAGTAAGAATAACTCACATGTACTATACTGTGGGCAAAGTTATATGTGTAATAGTTCTAAAATGTGAACAAATTGAATCAAACCTTGTAAGTGTTTAACTGTCACAAAGGAGCTTCCAGTCCAGAGTTACTCACTTTTACACATGTTTAAAGCACTTGACCAGACTGAGTTTTGTAGGCAGGTGATAAAGAACATTTTTCTGAAATATCCAGGGTGACATTCATACTTCAAAGTTGTCCCAATGGGAAACTCAGACTCATCAATTAGACTCGTAGGCTTGGCAAATGGGAACTGGGCCGGGGCCTTGCACTGACCTGCAGAGCCAGAGCACAGTGACATCAGTGTTAACGGAGAAACTTCTATCCACCTCTGCTTTCTCAACAATGTACTTTATAGATGTGATCAAGGAAGAGAAAGAATACTTTTATAATGGCACAAAGATTGACTCCTTTAGTAGATACCTTAGAAACGAGCTTTAAAATATTTCAGTATCCTCCCATTAAAAAGTTTCTACTGTCTTGACTTAAGCAATTGAACTGTGCGTGTCATTCACTGAAGAGCTCAAATTTTAACCAATCAGAAAGCACTTGTGCTTGGGCTTCTTTGATCCCATCCATCCCTGCTTCCATTCTCTGGTGTAACAAGATGTGTTTATGCATTTTACCATCATCACTTCTGGTGGTCCACCCAGATCTAGTGGGAACATGAGCCCCTCTCTTGCCCTCAGGAGCAGTCAGCACTTTTGGAAGTCTGTTGCCAAGGAGAAGACAGACAAAACTCAACAACTAAAGCTGTACTTTACTTTCTGAAAGCAGTGATTTTTCTGAGGCATGTTTTGAGTTAAATACTAGGCTTAGCTACCTCCCATCTTAAGCTTATTAATTTAAGCCCTAGAAGGTTTAAGTTAAAGTAATAAAATTGCCATTGAGAGTCAATATGTAAGCAAAATGAAATACCCATTGGAAAAATTTCCTCATTTTAGTTTGAGAAATCTTCTGGATTTTTGGTTTTATTTTGTTTTTACTTCTCTTCCGCCTCCTACCATTAATTATTTAAAATAATGAAGGGAGATTGAGGCCAGAGATTATTTGTATTAGTCTTCAAACACCCAACTTTTGGTTTTGTTGATTCTGCTCTTAATATTATTTTATCTTCACTGCTATTTCCTTTGAGTTTGTTTGCTGTTCTTTTTTCTCTTTTCATAACTGAATTTCATCATTTTAAGTGATATTTAATTTTATTGCATAATTAAAATTTAAAACTAGCATAATCATATTTGGGATGAAATACACTGCCATTGAGGTGAGCACGCATGCTGTTCTTTCTCAGAAGGATTTCTTGAGATGACTACTGAGATTTAAAATGTTTTCAGCTTGTCATAGTTTCTAAAATAGCATGTCAGACTATGACTTTAACTGTAAACATAGACTGTATTGCATTCAACAAGTTTCAATGTGCTATATTTTTTTAGTTCAAAACACTTTAGACGTGTTTTTCATAATGTAGAAACATTTAAGGAACTTTTAAAAGCCGTACATTTATTAGCTGTTTTTGAAATTGAGTTTTGTTTTTTCGCTCAGGATATGGTCACTGTAACATGTGTACTTGTGAAAAATGTATGTATTGCAGTAATGGCCTAGTGATTTGTGAATTTTAGAGGGTCCAATCTACTCACCATATTTGCTCAAATCTTCTAGCTACTTCCTGAGTTGGGGGTGGGGTTTGCATATTCTACCAGACACTAAATGAGTTGTGTTAAAATAGTCCATTTTATTGTCCATTTGTCTGTTTCTCCTTCTAATTCTATTCATCTTTCATTTTAAATATTTTGAGATTATGTCAGTAGGTCATAGAAAATGAAATTGCTGTATTTTGTGAAAAGTGGAAAATCAACCCTTCATCATAAAAAACTGCATTTCTAGTGGTAAATCGTGCCTCAAATTCTATTTTACCTACTTTGTGAGACAAATAAGAATTAATGTTACATTTAATCCCCAGTACATTCATATTTATTTTAAATGTAAACACATAGTAATTTAAAGACAAGATTGTCACCATGCCATATTTGCCAAACCAGCTCTGTTGTTTTCACGTATTATATTTTCCATTCTTTACTCATTCTTTCTGTCTCTGAATATGTCTACTTTCTCTCTCATGTAGGTTTTACTTTTAAGTCATTATAACAGGTGTCACAAATTTACTCAGTTCTCAGTATCCTTAGAATTTCAGTAATTTTTTTCATGGCATTCCTAAGTCTGAAAGAAATAAATAACAGCTTCATTTATGAAATAAGTGTTCAAACAACTTAAGTCTCACGTCTATAACAAGTAGTTAATAATAGGATGTTGGTTACTGCACAAGTTCTTAAACCCTGGAATCAGAATGGAAACCATCCTTTCATCTTCTATAACATGTTAATTATCTTTTCTTTCTTTCTTTTTTGTGGGAATGGGGTTTGAACCCCAGGCTTTGTGCTTGCAAAGCACATGCTCCCTGAGCCACACCTAGTCCCCATGTTAATTTTCATGCAGTACTCTTTGTCATAGCAACTGCTAATAACCTAGCTTTACAAAGATCTGCCATCATCAGGAAGAACCTTGTATGATCTAATGTTGAGACCAAGAGCTACTCTGAGCTAGTAGCTTAGAGTTTACAGTATATCTAAGAGATTCAATGCTGTTTCCATTGGCAATTTAAAATCTTCTGAAGTGCCCGAGTGAGCTTAATAAGGTCTCCTGGAAACCTTGGTTCACATATTGGGACATGTGGCCATATGAAAATCTTTGTCTTTAAATAGGAATGGTCTATTAATATTTAATTTAAAAAACTACTACCATATTTGAGATTAAATACACCACCTTGGTTTTTATTTGTCTTACTTTTTCTGTGTCCTTTGGTCTCTTCTATTTTGCTTACCAATTATATTTATTATTTTATTCTATTATGTCCTTTTATTAGATTATTAGTTATACATTCTCTTATGTTTCCTTTAAAGGTAACATGATTCCAAAACAGCAACATCTAACGAACAGTTATAGTTTCCCCAACAATACAAGAACCATAGAAATTCAACTCCATTGACTTCCTTCTTTTTCATGTACTTAAATTCTACATGTAGTTTAAATGGCTACTACTCATATTTAATGTAGATACTACAGCTGTTTATTGGACTCTAGTTATTTTGTACTTGGAGTGAGCTTTGTCTCGCTTTTGTTACTACTGAACCTAACTGGGCCTAATTGGGCGGCAACAGGAGATTCAGAAAGGACACAGCATAGACAGACAGACAGAAAGTGGGATCAAGTGTGCAGGGCGCTCGGATGGAGACACACCAACCTCATTGCTTTTTTTTATCTCTATTATTCTCTTCATTTACTTTGCTTCTTTTCTCTATCTTTATTCTTTAAGGCCTTACTCCTTTACAATACTTTAAAACCTTGCTTCTAAAGTCTTCTTTAAAACCTTGTTTCACTATTCTTTAAAACCTCTTTAATTAGACTTGCTCTGTCCCATGTTTTCTCTTAGCTTTTCTTTAGCATAACCTCTCTTAAAGTCTTTGCACTGTTCCATATTCTCTCTTTAGCTTTCTTAAAGCCTCATTGCTCAGACTTGCACTGTCCCATGTTCTCTTTAGGTTTTCTTTAGCTTAGCTTTTCTGAAGCCTATGTATAAAGTTCTTGATGCAGACTTGCACTGTCCCATATTCTTTTT